GGGACAAGGAATTCATTTCCGAGGTCAAAATAGACATTGGAGCATTCTGACCGGCGCGCTAGTTGCCAACCATTACATTATGGGCCATCTTAGTAAATTTTTTACATGTTGTATGTCGATTTAAAGGTAATTTGGCATAAGGAATACATTTTTGAGGTCAAAATAAAAATTCGAGCATTCTGACCGGCGCGCTAGTAGTCGACAGTTACATTATGGGTCATCTTCCCACATATTTACATGTTGTAAGTCTATTATAGGTAATTTGGCACGAGAAGTTCATTTCCGAGGTCAAATTGAATATTGGAGCATTTTGTGCACTGCAGGAATGGATTGCTCTGATCTAAATACCTATAAAATTACACACAACATGAAAAACTATGATAGGTTGAACCCATAATTACCATATGGCCATCAGCGCGCCGATCAGAGTCCTGAAACTTAACTTTTTTACCTAAGAAAGAGAATCGTTGTTTCTAGTACCCCAGAATCGACATAATACATGCAAAACATGACAGGATGACCCAGAAGGTGACTGCTGGCTGCTAGCACGTTGATCAGAGTAGTCTTTCAAAAGTTTTTACTAAAAATATTTAAGTTTCTAGAAACCAAGTTTCTAGTAATCATTTTTACAGCATACCTGTCTGCAGCACATTTTACCATTGTATTTTTCATTAAATTCACACAAAAACTCTGGATGTTTAAAATTTGTTAAATATATTGAAAAACTTGAATGATAAAATCCCTCGGTCAAATTAAAACTTGTCATCAACCTGCCAGTACTAAATCAACCATTAAAGGCTAAAATTTTACTTTGAAAATGGTCAAACAGCGCATTTTTTCTCAAGCCAGGTAACAATTTGATTATCAAATGAGCTTTATGCGTAAAGTTAATTTAATGATGGCTGCAGTTCTCAGCCCAGATATAATCCCAACCTAACCTAACCCAGGATATATACAGCATGAGCAAATTGGAATTGTATAGAAGTTAAATGTGAACAAAATGCGTGTTTGTCTGTCATATGTTTTGTGGTTTATTACCTCAGATGTGTATGAATAGTGTTTATTGGGGTCTATGATAGATAGATGGAACTGATCATGTGACATACTGGTTGTATTTGAGAGTTAGGGTGTTACCACAACCCCGCTATAACGATTGACCCGTTGATTATTAAGGAAACTTCTGTTAGAGGTTACTCTGTAGAATAATTGGTTGATAATCTGGTAAATAGTTGACTATTTAGGAAACCTTTGGTTGATGGTACTCTTTAGACTCATTGGGTGATAATCTAGTATCTGTTGGTTATAAAGAAAATCTCTGGTAGATGTTACTCGATGTAGAATCATTGGGTGATAATCTGGTAACGGATTTATTTTTAAGGAAACCTCTGGTAGGCGTTACTCAATAGAATCATTGGTTGATAATCAACCTTGTGGACTCATTCAATCACGGTAAGCTTGTGGCTGTTTTCCAATTAACCCCAGATCTTAAAATGGATAAAAGCGAAATTAAGATGCACTAGGTATGGGTAGTTTAATTACTTTTCAGGGGTGTTCATTTTTCCAAAAAAAATTGCCTCCCCCATTTTAGTTTTTTTTAGGCGGAATTGGGGAAAATAAATGATTTTTTGGGTAGAATTGTAATATTTAAGGCATGATGTAATATAAAGAGCTGAACGTATACTGAAAACCCCTTCAACCCTTTCTCCGGCTCTGAGCAGAGTATAGAACCTGAAGAATAAGATCAGTGCACCTCAGATCTTTCTATAATTCAGACTCAGAGTTTCTTCTTCTGTTTTTATAGGAAGGCTGGGGGACTTGCACAACATAAAGCAAACAGACAGTTAATAGACAGCTAAATCTGAAACATGTCTGCCAGGGAACACAGAAGGCCACCAGCATCTTATCCCATTCTTATACATGAATATGTATCATCAGATTTATCAGTATTCATCTCCTGTAGTTTCGGGAACTGAAGCGATTATACTCGTACCGGCCAGTCAGGACTACCCACCGATTGTAACAGTACCAGCTAGTCCAACCATGGACCGAGATGTACCAGACGAAACTATATTCTCGATATGGTCCTTTAAACAGGGCTATTGGAGAAATAGAGCAACCAGCATGTCCAGGACAAACAAGTCCAACTAGAGTTTGGCTAGCTCAACTACAAGCCAGGGAAACTTCTCCAGATGGTTCTATGAACAGAAACACTGGATATTGGAGATACAGAACAACCAAGATTTTCAAATAGAGGAGAACTAGACAGTCTCGCCAGTTCACCAGGAGCTGCTCTATATTCAGCAAAGGATTCTATAAAAGAACTTAATCTTGCTTGGGGCCAGGAGCAGCTAAAATATCAGTATAGACCAATGACTTCAGGAGAGGAGGAAATCTCGAGGATCTATGAGGATGGGATCTATCGTCCTCCAGATATGATTGAGAAACCAGGAGGTTTAGGGGTCACAGGATCTAATATGAGACCTAGGGCTGGACACAGACTTTTTTGAAACCGTTTCGTTGCGTTCTAGAATGATGGCCTTCAGCTAGATCGTTCCGTTCTCGTTCCTTTGTTTTCCAATTGTTCGGTTCTCGTTCCATTCCATACCATTCCGTTCCGTTCTTGGTCAAAGAATGATCTTCTCGTTCAGTTCCGTTCTTAGTGTTCTTAGTTAAAGAACGGTTCCATCCCCCTGTTCCGTTCTTAGTCAAGAAGATAGGAGGGGGGGGCCGGGGCTGGGGGGGGGGGACTTTAGAGGTGTCCAAGACAAAAGTTTTGTTGAAAAAGGTTGTTAAAAAAGTAAAAAATCACGATTTTATAATAAAAATTCCTCATGGCTGTAAATATGCTTTAAATTATTCGTTTAAAATTCTGGGCCGACGAAGAAGCTGGGGGAGGAGCGGGGGGTCATAAAATCCTTAAAATGTATGATAGCGTGTAATTGATGAGAACCTGGTTTATCTTTAAAAAGGGGGGTGTACAATTTGTAGATTTTTAAAAAACAATTAATTTTCATAATCAGTATTTCAATAATATTGAAAAGATATATAAATAAATTATAGAAAACAATTTCTTTCAATCTAAATCTCCCCTCTCTCAGGTTTAATAAAGAAAGAAAAGAATAATTGCTATTTGTTTCTGAACTGCCATTATTATTCTTTAATATGTTTGTTTGTAAAATTTAAATATGTCAGGTTAAAGGGATTGTTATGCTAATTTCAAGTGACTCTTTCTGAAAAAGTTTTAATTATAACAATTACGTAAATTACTCTTAGAGAAAAATCACAATTTGAAATGTTGATTTACAGATAGAAAGTTTAAAGTATATGGTGGATAGAGGGCCACTAAATTTTTTGTGGACAGTCCCTTAAATTATTCATGAATTTATCAATTTTCATTATTCATTGGAATAATGGTTCGTATTTAATAATATTTGACATTAGTAATGAGAAAACTCTATCTGATCTGACCAAATACAGGGGTGTATATTTCTTATGAATTGGGGGGGGGGGGAGAGTGATTTTGGAAATTGGAGGGGGAAATTAAAAGGCAGGTTTTTTAACCTTAATTTATACTTCTCACGCAAATATACCTAACTTCGGGGGGTAAAAAATCATTTTTTAAATGAGGGAAAATATACTGTATACACCCCTGACCAAATCTTGAATATATTTAGATCTAATATTGATGTTGATGATGTCACGTTTTTTCAAGATGGATCAGGTACAAATATTTTCATTCACTCCCAGGGATGTATATTTTCTCTAAAAATCTGTTTTCCTCCCCCCTTTAATTTTCCCCTCAGAAAGTATATGCTTGCACACACTTTTTAAAGGATCGGGAAAAATAAATGAATTTTTAAGTTAAAAAGAATGTCTCAAAATGAATGAAAAAAGTTACTTTTTGATGTACTGTTTTTCATTTTTTCCCCCAATCATTCGAAAATCATTCCTATTCTTAAAAATATACACCCTTGTTTACTCCTTACTATATTAAATATTAACAAGAGGGTCAGAATGAATCAGGGGTCCATGTAATTCCATTTCAGATCTCAGATTGACTGAAAGTACATTTAGGGGCATGAAAATACGCTTTCTGTTTTATTGTGAACTTTAGAAAGTTTTTTTTTTGTGTTCGTGTCATGCACTTTACAGATGTGTACTGCATGTGGAGTGTTAAAAGTTGAAAATATCAGTAATAAATTATGATATATCTACATAAGATAAACACTCCCTTGCAGTTGTATTTTCCAGTATGGAATTTGTTCTACAACTTGACATCAAACTTCCAATTGTTTACATCAACAACATGGTTAATTTCTGCCCCTGATCTCAATCAATCAACAATTGGGATCGTATTAAATGGAATTATATATGAATATGTATAATGCAAGTGTACATAAAGCATAATTTCAATGTACAATCCACAAAGAGTCGGCAATATAGTAACAAAGGATGTCGTTTTGGAGATTTTCAAAATATCGCAATCATTACAATTTAAAAGTTAGTCAAATAAAAAAAACATTAATTCTTTGGAATGTAAACGTACCATACAAAATATGATACTATTGCCTATTATCAATAACAATTTTAGTTCTAGCTTAAAAACGCAATAATTAAATGGTCTCTCGTTAAAAATTTTCCCACATTTGATTTAATTAATCTTTTGTTTGAGGAACCATCTAAATATTACTCATTGCTTTTTAATACTCAAGGGGGGGAGAGTTTCTTTTAGTCTTAAAAAAAGTTGCTTTCCCTCAGTAAAAGAAATAACTAAAAACCTGGCTAAGGAAAGTTTTGGCTTTAAACACACAAATTTCAAGTGTTATTAAAAATTATAGCTCATATTTTTAAAAACAAGTAAAAACATTGTAAGTTAAAGGAGATGTACGCATTTTGGTTTGACTCTTGATATGCATTTTGAATATTAGACTTAGGGGGCTCTTAGTCTAAAAAAGTGAGAAAATGCTAACAATGATCAGTAAATCTTGTCTGTCTGTCTGTTTGTCTGTATCCAATAAACGTCAAAACGGCTGAACCGATCGGGCCCAACATTTTTTGTGGGACCTTACGTGACCCCAGTGAAGGTTTCTGAATGATCAAAATTTCAAAAATTAGTGTTTAAAAGTTTTTTATTTTTATAAAATTTTGAAAATGTGCGAAAAAATATTATGAAATCCGCAAACTTTTTTTGTTTTATACTGTACAAAGAGAAGATGCGCACAGATAAAGCCACAATTAAAAGAAAAATATTATGAAATCCGCAAACTTTTTTTGTTTTATACTGTACAAAGAGAAGATGCGCACATATAAAGCCACAATTAAAAGTTAAAATAGAAGATGGGCGCGAAGCGCCCTATAAGCCTAGTATATAAAATGTTGGAAGTCAAATGTTTTCAGTTTTACATAAAAAAAGCAAATCTTTGATTGATTAATTGATTGTAAAAGAATGACTTAAAGGTAGTGACCGGCAATGTATGGTAGTTAAACTACGAATGTAGTATTGGGGGGAATTTTTTAAGATTCATTTGAGACACATAAAACGTTTTAATGATGTATGATTACTGAGTTTGAGCGCAAAGTCGAGTTTCAAAATCATCCATTTGGGTTTTTACGTTTTGAGAATCCATTTTTTTTAAAAATATTAAATAACGACAACAAAAAATGTAACAAAATTTGTTTAGGAACAGGTTAATAAAAAAAAATTAACTCTTATCATCGAAAATAAGTAATCTTATTCAGTTATTAGTATCTGTAATCTCTCAGTGTTCACAAACATTTTCTGTAGATTTTCTGGATTTTTTATTGAAAAGACGACATTTGAAGAATTTGTAGAAATCTGCGAACTTTGTAAAAAAGAAGAAATTCAATATAATGATGAAAAAGAAAAAATTGATTCTATCATTGATTAATTGACAACTTTTTATTGAGAAATATGTTCATAAACATTTAATTAGTTTACCGTAGAAATTTCGATACATTTTTCGTCGTCGTTATTTTATAATTGAAGAAAAAAAATCAATTCTCAAAACGTAACCATCTAAATGGATGATTTTAAAAGTCGACTTTGCGCTCAAAGTCAGTAATTGAACATCATTAAAACGTTTTAGATGTGTCTAAAATAAATCCTAAAAAAGTTCTCCACAAAACCACATTCTCCCTTCAACTACCATACATTGCAGGTCACTATCTTTAATCATAATTTATAGTACAGACTCGACAGTCGACACTTGACACTAGACACTCTACAATCTTCATGTTTGTAGGTCGTGTTCTGCAATATGGTGGGAGCACTGTACTTATACATAAGCTTGATTTATTATCCAGGAATCATATTAAACCAAATAGTTATTAAAACCTTTTGCTTAATAATAGTAATCAGGGGCGTTTTCAGAGATGTGATGAGAAATGTATTTTTTTTTTTAAATTACGTATTTACTTTTCATTCAACCCTAAATGATTTTTCACAGTTATAAACAATCTTGCCAGATTTTCCAACAAACGACCGAAACCTATTTGTTATTGTTGTAATTTTCTGAGTTTGATTTATTGGATCAGACTTAGCACTGAGTTAAAACTAGAGTTTGAAGAGTGTGGACTTCAAGAAATCAGGTATTGCATTGAGTATACGAAGATTTTTATAATTATTTAAAAATTTATGATAGTCCAGTGTTTTTGATCCATTTAGTTTTAATGCACGGATCCCTAAGAAAAAAATAGATTCGGAGCCAGGTCATCAACGCTGCCATATGATTTACTGATTTTTAACGGAAGAAGAATTTTCCAATTAATTTTTTTTCTCGCTTATTTTTATGCTTAAACGTGATGAACCATTCAGAGATAGGGAAATTAAAATTATCTTTTTTTAACAGTTCAGATTTGAGGGGTTTTGAGAGTAAGTTTTTTCAACAGTTTTTGGTCAATATGTTGCCCCGTTGGATCCGCATATTTTTGCGGATCCGGTTACAGGAGGCAGAAATCCGGACCCAACGGATTTGGATCCGGATCCTAAACATTGAATAATGCAAAGACGTGATTTGGATTTGTTTAGTGTTCCTGAGTTTACGAGGAGTGGACGGAGGATTAACAAGTCCAATTATACTCAAGGAAATATTTGATGAATTCACAACTTAATAAAATTTTATTTCGTTTAACGAGCAGATTTTTATGAAAGTATTTTTGTTGTAAAA